GCAGCCATGGGGGGGCGCCTCAGGGCGGGGGCTCAGGGACGGGGGGTGGGGCGCAAGGTGGAAGTTTCGCCTAGGGCGCGAAACATCCTTCCACCGGCCCTGCATAGTCATAAACACACCCAGGCTCTTTTCCTTTCACCATGTGTTCCTTTTATACCACAGTTCTTTTGCAAACAGAACACGACACAGGCATATTGCAGCAGGGGCTTGCCAGACAGCTTTTCTCCTCCACACCGTTCACCTTCTGAGCTCCTCCCCCTACTACCTCTTCCTCCCAATTACTGCCACTTGTATCAGTAGTCTAATAATGATCACCCAGGTGCTCATCCCCCAATAGACAAGGGATTAACTGCTTCCAGCTAAGCCTGCAGCCTCTTCTGTGCTGCAGCAACGTCAGTGATCAGGGTGCTGCTGCTAGCACTCTGACAGAGGCAATAATAATGTTAAATGGTGTCACCGTATGTACTTGAGTAATAGATATAATAATAATAATATAATGGAGATATCCCATCTCCTAGAACTGGAAGGGACCTTGAAAGGTCATCGAGTCCAGCCCCCTGCCTTCACTAGCAGGACCAAGTACTGATTTTGCCCCAGATTCCCAAGTGGCCCCCTCAAGGATTGAACTCACAACCCTGGGTTTAGCAGGCCAATGCTCAAACGTTTCCGGTTAAGGAATTATATTGTGATGGCAGGAGACCCCAGATGGCACTGTTGCATATAGTTTACAAGCTCTTTTTTTTTAGAGTTTGAATGCTGTTCAGTCTTTGAAGAAATGCTGCACTGTGGTTAGTTTGGTGATGTAGTTTCTTTTGGGTGAAGCTATTGCAAAAAGCAGAAGAATTTTCAATCTGTCTTAACCACTTGCAGAAGAGTTGCTCCCTGGGGGCTGGAAATCGATGTTTTGGCTGAGATTTCTGAAAGAGGGATTTGCTTATGTGTTGGTTGTTCCCATTTTGTATGTGTGCAACTAATTGTTCCTTCCTAAGGGGAGTACTTTGCATTTGTCCTTATTGAATTTCATCCTATTTATTTCAGACCATTTCTCCAGTTTGTCCAGATCATTTTGAATTATAATCCTAACCTCCAAAGCACTCGCAATCCCTCCCAGTTTGGTATCGTCCGCAAACTTTATAAGTGTACTCTATATGCCATTATCTAAATCATTGATGAAGATATTGAATAGAACCAGACCCAGAACTGATCCCTGTGGGACCCCACTCATTATGCCCTTCCAGCATGACTGTAAACCACTGACAACTACTGTCTGGGAATGGTTTTTGAACCAGTTATGCAGCCACCTCATAGTAGCTCCATCTAGGTTGCATTTCCCTAGTTTGTTTATGAGAAGGTCATATGAGACAGTATCAAAAGCTTTACTAAAGTCAGGATATGCCATGTCTACTGTTTCCCCCCTATCCACAAGGCTTGTTACCCTGTCAAAGAAAGCTATCAGGTTGGTTTTACATGATTTGTTCTTGACAAATCCATGCTGACTATTACTTATCACCTAATTATCTTCTAGATGTTTGCGAATTAATAGCTTAATAATTTGCTCCATTATCTTTCCAGGTACAGAAGTTAAGCTGACTGGTCTATAATTCCCCGGGTTGTCCTTATTTCCCTTTTTATAGATTGGCACTATATTTGCACTTTTCCAGTCTTCTGGAATCTCTCTCGTCTTCCATGACTTTTCAAAGATAATTGCTAATGACTCAGATATCTCCTCAGTCATCTCCTTCAGTATTCTAGGATGCATTTCATCAGGCCCTGGTGACTTGAAGACATCTAACTTGTCTAAGTAATTTTTAACTTGTTCTTTCCCTATTTTAGCCTCTGATCCTACCTCATTTTCACTGGCATTCACTATATTAGATATCCAATGACCACCAACCTTCTTGGTGAAAACCGAAACAAAGAAGTCATTAAGGACCTCTGCCATTTCCACATTTTCTGTTATTGTCCACTTCCCCACCCCCCGGCCTCATTGAGTAATGGTCCTATCCTGTCTTTGGTCTTCCTCTTGCTTCTAATGTATTTGTAGAATGTTTTCTTGCTACCCTTTATGTCTCTATCTAGTTTAATCTCATTTTGTGCCTTGGCCTTTCTAATTTTGTCCCTACATACTTGTGTTATTGTAATTTGACTTAGTTTTCACTTTTTGTAGCACTCTTTTTTGAGTTTTAGATCATTGAAAGTCTCCTGGTTAAGCCAGGGTGGTATCTTGCCATACTGCCTATCTTTCCAATGCAGTGGGATAGTTTGCTCTTGTGACCTTAATAATGTCTCTTTGAAAAACTGCCAACTGTCTTCAACTGTTTTTCCCCTTAAACTTGCTTCCCGTGGGATCTTACCTACCATCTCCCTGAGTTTGCTAAAGTCTGCCTTCTTGAAATCCATTGTTTTTATTTTGCTGTTCTCCCTCCTACCATTCCTTAGAATCATGAAATATACCATTTCTTGATCATTTTACCCAAGCTGCCTTCCACTTTCAAATTCTCAACCAGTTCCTCCCTATTTGTCAAAATCAAATCTAGAACAAAATCAAATCTAGAACAGCCTCTCCCCTAGTAGCTTTCTCCAGCTTCTGAAATAAAAACTTGTCTCCAATACATTCCAAGAACATGTTGAATAATCTGTGCCCTGCTGTGTTATTTTCCCAACAGATGTCTGAGTAGTTGAAGTTCCCCATCATCACCAAGTCCTGTGCTTGGGATGATTTTGTTAGTTGACTGGAGCTTCTAGGTGCAACCATTATACAAATACATAATAATAATAACACCTCATTTCTCATGAGCCACTGCGCAGCCATCAGATGGTAACAACTGTCAGTCACTGCTGACACCATTACCAAACCCGTCCACCTCTGGGCACTAACACCATTGTGATATGAGTGCATCACTAGCTCGTACACCACGGTGGCCATTGCATTACCAGAGCTCTCCATATCTATTTGTGGCCATCCCATAGTGTAGTTACACTACAAGAAAACACAATTATGAAAAGGGCCCTTTTAAGTGACAACTTGTGAAGAGAGCACAGCAAACTCTAGCACTGTCATTGCCAAAAAACAGTGGGTGCCTTTGAAAAGCATAGAATATATTAAAGATTAAATAAAGGTCCCAGTAGCCAAACCTGAGCTGATTAAAAACAGTAGAAGTGGGAAACATATTTTGCTTGCCTGATCTTTCTGAAAACTCATTGTTCGCTGTCATTTTGAATGCTATACTTGCAGAAGTACTGCTTCGAACAAGGCACTGAACTATGAATTTCAGCAAAACACTGGAGAGTGCTTAAGAGGATACACCTGTGCCAAATGTTTCCTGGAACTTTCCATTCGTCCTCTGTCAGCACTACTTTCAGCAGTGATGCAAAGAGACGGCATCCAAGAGGCATGTGAGAGCCCAATTCACAATAAAGATGGAGTCCATGTCTACACTTAAACCACTATAATAACACAACTGCACCACTGCTGCTGCGCCTCTGTCGCACGTCAGCACAGACACTCACTATACAGTGACGGGAGAGGGTCTCTCATCACTGTAGTTAATCCACCTCCCCAAGAGGCGGTAGTTGGGTAATAAAAGAATTTTTCCACCGACGTAGCACTGTCTACACCAGGGGTTGGGTCATCTTAACTATGTTGCTTAGGGGGGTTGACCTAACTTCTTAGGGTAGATCTGGCCAAAGATTTTCTTGCTACACAGCTGATCTAAACAGTATCACTGAACTATCAGCATTGATCTTTGCATTGGACTCTTACTCGTTAGCAATGCCAAGTCAGGGCTTTAGTGCTGAGTGAAGAAAAAAATTTTACTCACCAGAACTTTATTTTCAACCACATCAGAGTTTACAACTTCACAGCCAGCAAAACATGGAGAGATGTATTCAATCCCATCAGCCCCACATATAGGGTTATAGGCCTTATCGAGGCAGTTGCATTTACTGTTACATTCAAAAGAGTGTTGTCCAACATCAGAGCTACAGTAGAAGGAAAGATATGACTATATTAATATATACATTGTGGGTTTATGTAGTATACCATATGTATATAGATATTAGTGAACAAGAGCTTGCTTGCTTAACACTGAAAGTGTGTATTGGTGGACTCTGCCAAACCCACAGAAAAAATAATTTCCATAGATTAATTCTTGTACCTCTAAAAAAATCCCTCAAAAGTTTGAAAGTCTGGCCATGAACAAAGGATGCAGCCACTTATATACATGCCATATATTTCTCCTTCAAATACTACCACCCCATGCAAGTGGAACTGAGCAGCTCATGAGAACTAACGGTACCACATCAGGAATATGTAAAAGTAAAAAATTCCCAATTCGGAATTAATATTTTCTTCTTTAGTATCACTGTGTGTGAGCAGGTTCCTTCAGCTCTAAACTACAGTCCACACACTGAGTAGTCAAAACTCACCCCCTACCAGGGGTCTCTTTTTCTTAATAGAGGGTAAGGTTCTGCCTGCATTTCAACATATAGGGAGGCAGCCATTATTTCAAAAATATTCTCTCCATGTTCACATCTTGGTAAATTATCAACCAGTGAATGATGAGTCAAGCATTTTCCAGTATGAATTTTTGATTCCAAATTATTTGTGATCAAATTCAGTAAACTTGTGAGGTTTGTGACCTTTTCGTGGAGTTTTTTGGGTTTAATTCCTGTGTAAACTTTGTGGCATGCACATGGAAAGGGACACTTTATAAATCAATCAGTCAGCCAATGAAAATGTGTCAGAGGGCCAACCTTATGGTCTATATGACAAGTGGTACCTTCGTCTGTAGTTCAGGCCAGCAACTTTCTGCGTAGGGCAGCCCAGGAAGAGGAGGGGAAAGGCAAAGATCACACAGAGGAGCATGCCAATGACACACATGCCGCCACACTGTTTCAGAGTCATTTGGAACTTCTTCATGATGGCGCCACCCGCCACTATTCCAATCATTGCCCCGGGGATGTTCACAGAACCTTGGGAACAGAAACAAGAGCAGGGAGTTAAGATCCAAATATCAGTGAAAATACTTCAACACCTTCCAGTCAATGCAGAACATAGTAAATGGATTAAATGGTAACTGATAGATCTCAAAACGTCATTGTAAATAATAATTCCCTGTTCTTTTCATCTCATCTTTCATCAGTAGATCTCAAAGCATTTTACAAGCATCACGTCTCCATTTTACAGAGGGAGTAACTAAGAAGTGAAGTCACTTGCCCAAGGTCACCCAGCAGACCAGTGGTAGAGCCAAGAATAAAACCCAGGTCTCCTGAGGCCCAACTCAGTGCTCTATCCATGAGACCCACTGTCTCCTGTAGGAGGGAATGGGAAATCATCATCCAGTGAGATTGATCACTTCTGCCATTTCCACATTTTCTGTCATTGTTTCTTGATGCAGGAACCAATTGATGACATGCTAAGGGCATGTCTGTATGCCGAGTTAGAGCATGACAATCTGGGGTGTAAATCCATGGAGCTCTACTGAGCCATGCACTCACTGGCCATATGGACTTTCCTACGTCAAGCTAAAAGTTCTGTTTGAAACTGCAGTAGATCAAACGGCACTACCCAACTTTTAGTACGCAGTGGCAGGATCCCATGGCCCATGCGTGCTTGGCACACTGTAACACTGCAGATTTACACTTCAGCTTGCTGGGCACCAAGTTGCCCTGTGGAGAAACCCTAAGGCTTGTATTATACTGGAGGTCATTCTAGACGATAAAAATAGTTCCTTTGAACTTAAAATCAATGAATCATCTGGGGATGATCTCAGAGCTCTTAAAATATTTTAGTTACTTCTCAGCCACATTTCCTTCCTGGGGAACTAGGCCCTTGATATATTTAACACTCTTCCCTGACATCTGTGCTCAAGTACCATCCACAGTTGAGTTCCTATTATCACATCTTAAGTCAAAGATAATCAGGCCTTTGCTGAGTGGACCGTAGGGTGTGGAAAGCACTTCTGATTTCTTTCACTGCCCTCCAGGAACTAAAAACAGCGGAGAGTGATTAAGCAAATTCACTCAGGTTGTAACACCTCCCAAGAGGTACCATCACCCCGCATATACTGGTTCAAACTGGATTTTCTAGAGAGCCAATAGACAAAGAAAGGACTGTTGGATAAAGAGCCTGAGTCTAAAATGAGTCAGGGCCTTCCTTCTGATCCAGCAAATGGACAGCACCTTCTGCCTAAAGAAAGGGCCCCAATCCTTAGAGAAGGGTTGGAGGGACTGGCACCAACCAGAGCCTTTGTGGAGATGAAGGTGGTGATCGCCGATAAGCTTATTAGAATGAGTGTAGGTTCTTTATTGTTTGTAATATGTTTTCTCTGTAGTGCTTTCACCTTAAGAATAAATTTGCTTGCTTAGAAAGGGCTATGTGGTAACTTAAAACCATGTGCAATTACACTGTTTATAGCTTCTGTGGAGAAAAGTGAAGGGGGCCTGCTTAGGCGGTCTGACTTGCTGGGGAATTCACAGTGTAAGCAGAGAACTGTGCAGCCTGGGAATTCCCTAGTTAGGAGGGAGTGAGATTAAATTAATGGAGATATCCTATCTCCTAGAACTGGAAGGGACCCTGAAAGGTCATCAAGTCCAGCCCCCTGCCTTCACTAGCAGGACCAAGTACTGATTTTGCCCCAGATCCCTAAGTGGCCCCCTCAAGGATTGAACTCACAAACCACTGAGCTATCCCTCCCCCTCTCTGCACAAGAGAGGCAATGGCTGGGGAGCTGGAAGCCTGAGAGTGGGTGCCCTTGCTGAACAATATGTGGGAATACAGTTGCAGTTGTCCTGAACTCTGATATTATCTTTGATTTCTCCACACATGAAGAGAAAACAGATGGGACCATCGTTTTGTTCTGTGTTTGGACAGCACCTAACACAATGGGGTGCTGGTCCTTGACTGGGGCTCCTAGGCACTGTCATGATACAAATAAATAATAACTTTTAATCCTAATGGTTTTTATTTTAGTTTAAGAGGACACGGAATATCCACCCCTCCCCCCAGCCAATGTTTGCACCTGAGAATATATCTGAGAGAGGGAGATTGCATTGGCCTGAGTCCACAGAGAGTTAAAGGTTTCAGTACACAGAAACAGAGTTATAGCACTTAAATAGAGAGGTGCACCATATATCTATTTAACAAAGGGGATACTGAGGCACAAACATCTTACGTGGCTTGCCCAGAGCCACATAACTAGCTCAATGGAAGAGGAAGGAGCAGAATTCAAGAGTCCAAGTCCTGTGCGATAACCACTAGAAAAACTCCCTTTGCAAAACTGTATGATCTTCAGTCAGTTTCAGTGAATGCTGAATATACTTTGTAGACCTGTTCCTGACCGACTTTGTAAATGAGCCCCATCCATCTCCAGCCCTACCTACCTCGCTTCTGGGCAGATCAGTCTGCATGTATTTGGTTGTTGTCATGTGAACTGGGTTTTGTTTGAGTTTTGCTGTCTCCCATGTAAAATTGCATTCAGTTTGGGGTAGCCTATCAGGAAACAAGGGCTTCAGTGCTCCCTAGCATGTACAGTAAGAGCTGCAATGTCTCCAGTAGTAACAGGCAGTACTTACCTATGATCATGTTGGCAAATGATGCAGTGAGAGAGAACTGCCTCTCCAGGAATTTGCCCATGAATGTTGCTAAACCGGCAACCATGGCAGACAGATTGACTTGGGCCAAAACCACCAGCAGATAGACTGGATGCCGGAGATTTCTCAACAAAACCACAGGAAAGACTGAAATGAAAAAGGAGAATTAGTAACAAAAACATATTAATATACAGAGCTGGCTGAAAAAAGGGAATTTCCATCTCATGGCAGATTAGCATGCATCCCACTAGCATTATAATAGTTATAATAATATAATACAGTGATAAGAGTAGTAATAATAGAGAGACAACTAGTGAGGAGGTGTGTGAAACAGATACTGGAAATTAGTTCTAAGTTTCTGTAATTGCTCTTCTGATTTTCCAGGGGCAGCTTAAGAAGATTCTTCTAATTATACAAGACTTAAAATAAGTGACACAGCATTGGCTCCAGGTCAGCCAGAACACATACACACAAATATTTAGCCAACTTCCATGCTAATAAATCTTTAACAGCTATGGCAGAAATTGGAAGAGGGGGGCAGAAAGGGGCATCTCCATATCTATTGAATAGACATGATTAACGGATGATAAGACCTTTTCATATTTATCAACTGCTGAAAAACACACACATTAAGACCTTTGAATGGTATTTACTACAGTTCTAAACATGCACACACACATCAAATACAAAATACCTGAGTTAATGCCACATCAAGTTTTTAAATCAAGTCAGGACATTCAGAGTTAAGGTTCTTAAAGCACCCCTACTGTGTCTCCTTATATGCGTGGATTGCAATAGGGTCTTTCATTATGTGAACACACTTTCGTAGCCGTTTTCACCCCAGGATCGCCAAGTGCGTTACAAAAGGTGGTTAAGTATCACTATCCTCTCTGGGTGGCTGGAGAAACTGGCACAGAGAGGTTAAGGGCAAGACTGTGCCATTTCCATGCAACACTGCATTGTGGTGCAGCCCCCCTCCCTGAACTTCCTGCTTTACAGGTGAGTGTGTATATTTGGAGGTGGAACCAACTTCTAGGGTGATGTAGCCTCCACCCTGCCATGATGTGCATGGCCTGCTCCATGGAGCGGGGAGGCACAAGCCTGATCTTCCCCCTTTTTGAGTGGTTTGTGCCCCTAGGAAGGCAGATGTGGGGAGTCGTATGGAGTGCAGGGACTGTGAATACATCAGGCTCTTGTGCTGGGTACAGGGGAGGGAACCCACACAGGTGCCAGTCACAATCTTGTCTGTGGTTTGCCCAGGGTCACCTGGTAAGACAGTGAGAGAGTCAGGAGAATCACCTAGGAGTCTGGACTCCCAGGGCCCTGTTCTCACCATAGCTCATATGTATGGATTGTAATTTATTACTTATATAGCACATTAGATTTTCCTGGTGCCTAATGAATCAAAGGAATGACCAAAGGCGAGCTCATGATCTCAGCTGAACCATTGCAAATGCTTGCAAGAGCTCCACTGGCTTCAGTGGATTTACTGTGAACTTACACTGCTGTGAGTGAGATCAGAATGGGAACCAGAGTCTCTTTCTCTTAAAATCTAGGGGCCAAAGTCTGAGATTCTTATTTCATTTGTATTGAGTTCTTACTCGGGTGAGCTCACACTGCAGTGAATGGGAGTTTGCGTAGGTAAGGACTGAGTAGAAAGAGAGAAAGTGCCTCAGGATTTGGTCCTGTATACAGTATGTATCTCACACTGCCCAATGTTGTTTTGTCACACAGGCTGCTGTAGACACACACAGCCCATGCAAAATTTGCCTCTGCATTTCCTTTCCTTGGGCTTCCTGCAGGGACTCTGTATGCATCCGAAGATGTGGGCTGTAGTCCACGAAAGCTTATGCTCTAATAAATTTGTCTCTAAAGTGCCACAAGTACTCCTGTTCTTTTTACGGATACAGACTAACACGGCTGCTACTTTGAAATCTGTTATAATGAACTCAGAAAGCAGCTGTGAAGTTGTAAAAGGTTTATTTCCTTGTTCACTGCTGCTGCAATTCCGGCATCTTTTCCTTTTGATCATAAAAAAGTACAGTTTTGGTTACAGACAAGAAAAACTAAGATGAACGCCCTAGGCGTTGCATCCTTGCTCTGGAATTCAGAGAAGAAAATAGTTTCACTTGCACAGCCCAGGCACCAGAACAAACAATCCCCTCCACCGGGGAATCAGAAAAAATGGATAACACCCACCCTGGGCAACAGTGCAATTTCCCGTTCTGTTCAGTCCAGCAGTGTGAAAGTCGTCTTTCATACGAAGTAGGAACCTCATGTCCCAGTCATGCCTCTACCACCCTATAAATAGCAAAGTTCCTTGCAACTCTTTGTATATTTTTGTGTCAACTAAATAAAACACACACCCAACGATCCCTTCCAGATAAACAGTAAATGATTTTCCCAGATGTGGACTCTAATTCCTTCTACTGATTTCAGCATAATATAATAGTATTTAATGTGTGGGAATACTGCCAGGGGTCACAACAAATGTGTGCGGTGAATTCGGGAAGTCTGAGCAACTCACAAATGATGGGGAAATGTCTGGCACCTTTTCCAAAACGAGGGCAATCTGTGGTCTGACATCCTGAGTCGGCGTGTGTCTAGGATCTAAAGCCATTTGGCTAGACATATTCTACCACCATAACATCACAGAACCCGAAATGTTATGCTTGACAGACCTTCTACCTCACCTCACGCTATAATCTTAACTCTGAGCCCTGGAGTTGGCACTAGCCACTAGAAACAAATTTTAAGTGTGGGTCAGCGTGGGAGGCCCTTCAATAAGCAGAGACGATGACTATGCCACATTCTGTGTTATGACCCATCATTTGCCAGCATTTTTCTTAATCACTGGCAATTCTTTTAATCAAGATTGGAATTTTTCTCCTAAAAGCTATGCTCTAGTTCAAATAGGAATTAATTCAGGAAAGTCTTGTGGCCTGTGTTACATAGGAGATCAGACTAGATGATCACAGTGATCCCTTCTGGCCTTAAAAAAGTGATGACTCTCCAGGCACTAAAACTGCCCTTTGCAGAGTTAGGAGTAGCTATGTTAAATGGTCTGGGGACTAGATTGCCAAAGCTGACACTGTCAGATGAGGTGAGGTGCATCTGCCTTTCTAGGGATCAGGGATCCCTCATTTTGCCACTGAGTTATGTAAGTCATCCAAGCAGAGGACCACAATGGTTGATCCTTGCCGTGGGGATTTGTACTAGTAACATCTCACAACTCTGGGATGCAGAGAAGGCACAGTGGTCAGCTGTAGGCCAGGTGTAGCTAACTCCTGGTCACTATGGGTATGTCTATGGGTATGTCTATGGGTATGCGGCTGGCCCGTGACAGCTTATTAGAGCTCGTAGGGGTCAGGCTACAGGCCTGTTTAATTGCAGTGTAGATGTTCAGACTCTGGCTGCAGCCTGAGCTCTGGGACCCTCCCACCTCTCAGGGTCCTAGAATCTGAGCTTCAGCCCAAGTCCAAACATCTACTCTGCAGTTAACTAGCCCCTTAGCCCAAGCTCCATTAGCCCGAGTCAGCTGGCACATTGCAGTGTAGACATACTCTAAGCCCGACTAAATGAATTGTTTGCCTAATGAAGACAAGTTGTAACAGTTTCTCCTACAGCATTCATGTACGCTGTCCCTGCTTTCCTTAGTATTATCTGGGAGGTTAGAGTGCTGCAATATCTGTCGGGGCAGGTTGGGGCATCACTCAAAGAGGTCAGAGTTAAGGTTGTGGGGTGGGGATGTTGTGTACTTTCCCCCTATTTCCTGGTTTTCAGAGATTTCAGTGTACGTGAACTCAACATTCTGGAAGGGCACAGGTTAGGGGCGGGCAGGATTAACTCTGCCTTAACGAGAAAGTGGTGAGATGGGTATGATTAAAAGGCACTTGTGGATGGCCATAAAGGTACTTTCTGGACACACCTCTCAGCTCAGATACCAGCTCCTACCTCCTCCTGGCCACTCTAAGACCCTGGTAGGGGCCATGGGAAGGATGATAGAGCTGTGAGGAGTGTGTGTACCAGCTGTAGGCAGAGAAAGAGAAGAGAGTTGAGCTCCAGAGTCCCTACCTCACAACTGGGCCTAGTGGGTCAAGGACTCTGCACACCCATTGGCAGCAGGTGAAGTGGGTATAAAGTGACCCACATATCTCAGTGGGGTGGTCCCAACTGAATTAGAACGCCCCCTGGTGAGGAATGAATCCTGAATTATATGTCTGAGAGGTGTGAAATGCTTTATTCATCTCAATGGATGGTCTCACCTCCTCTCCTTTCGTCTCAGTGCCCAGGTGCCTTTGCTATGCTCTGAGCATTATCTGTTCTCAGCTCCCTTCCCCCGTCTCAGCACAGTCTGCCTGGTGCATGCACTAAGTGCACCTGTTCCTAGTGCCAGGCACAGATAGCTTGTCCTGCCCCGCAGGAGTTTAATGAGCCTCTCCTGTCAGAGAACTGCTTCGTCCTGGCTGGGACTCTCGGGCTGGACTCTCTGTCATTTTCAATGTGGCAGCTAATACCTCCCATATCTGCCCATCTCTGTACCCCATACTATGCTTCATTTCCTGGGCACAATACTACCCACCGAACTGAACATCCCTCAATAGAACCATAGATAGTAGAGATGGAAATGACCTAGTTCCAGTCACTGTAATGGGAGTACGAATGTGAAAGGAGGTAGCCCAATGTCATCCAGACCATCTGCGCAGGAGCCAAGGCTGCTCCCTGTTGTATTCTGGCTTTTCTAATTTGGAGTAATTCTGGTGATGTAGCTTTGCTAACTTTCCTTGGGTAACTGACCTCATTGTTTGAAAACATCCCCAGTGCCTGGCCTGAATTTTTTCCCATACACCATTTCATCCTCTTATTGCTAGCTATTATTCATTTAACTGCTTTAAGAGCATAAGAACATAAGAACGGCCATACTGGGTCAGACCAAAGATCCATCTAGCCCAGTATCCTGTCTACCGACCGTGGCCAATGCCAGGTGCCCCAGAGGGAGTGAACCTAACAGGTAATGATCAAGTGATCTCTCTCCTGCCATCCATCTCCACCCTCTGACAAACAGAGGCTAGGGACACCATTCCTTACCCATTCCTTACATAGAAACAGTTCTTCCCACCCTTGAAATTCACTCCTCAGATATTTAT